ATTATATACAACCATACGTAAGAAACTAATCGACAAACATAGCCTTAACACATTGACATCTCATAAGCAATAACGCAATAATTACTAAATTAAATTTTAATATTATGAAACCCAATATTGTAGTAATCAAATGACGTACGAAAAATAATATTTTCCACTTACGGGTTACAATATACGATCATCCATACTAAAAAAAGGAAATAGATTTTATCTCAACATCCAATTATCCAAATGTCAAGATGAAACATAATAATTATTTTACGGACGAAATGGGAATTTAGAACCTAATTCAAAATCCCATATTTACAGACAAAAGCTAAGTCGCATCCTGATTAATCGTGAAACCAAAATGACAGGGAATGTGAATAGTGAGTATATATTTAGTTCTTTTTCAAATTGACATAAAAATAATTGCAGCATATTCTCAAACCATGAATCAAATATGACAAGAATTTATGAAACAATTGCATTTACAAACTGGAAATACTAAGATCAAATTATGGATTTCTATAGTAGAAGAAACAAGTTCTTGATGGCTGGACAGTAAAGCAAGAATAGAAGGATGATTAGCTCCACAGAAAAATGGGAATATGTTTTGCCAAAAATCATGCTTTTTTGAATTCTGTAATGTGTTTTGAAAGAGCATTGATGGTCAGTGTCACACTAGGGATAATTTAAAATTTTCCCAGTTACAAAGACAAAATTGAGTTAATTCTGGTATACAGTTTTTTTTTTTAAAAAAATATTTACTATATCACAAAGTAGGAATTGGATTTTAAAAATCACATAGTAAATGCTGAATTTTTATTCTGTAACGATGTAGATACGAAAATTTTCGATTATTTTTCTCATTAGGTGCCGAGCTGCTTGCCAATTTCTCTCTAAGGGTGACTTAGCAAGAAATTGAGGTGCATTTGACATATACCGTATTATATTGTATAAGATAAATTATTTTTATACGATATTTGGTGTTGTTTTACATTTTATCTTTAATTAAAGTGACACACACATCAATGTGTATTTCCTGATGATCGACCCTCACTCATAATGGTTATCGGACAAAAGAATAGGGATGTCAATTTGGCTCATCGACTCAGGAGGCCCGTGGCTTGGTTTGGGAAGCTCTGAAGAATCGAGTTGAGGCTCAAGTCGAGCCTCAATTTTGGGCATCGGCCCCAGTCGACCCGTCTCAAGAGCTAATTTTGACTCGTAAGGCAGCACCACTGCCTATATTACAGGCAGCCAGCAGCTACCTATTTCAAGCAGCTATAGATGGCTGCCTATAATACGAGTACAACTACCTGAAATAGACAGCTGTGTAGCTGCCTTTTTTATTAAAAAAATAGGTTGCTTGGCTCTAGCTCGGGCAAAAATGGGCATTTCTGCAGATCACTCCAAGCTTCATATTGAATAAAAGAGTCCCAAGCCTAACAATTTCCAAATTTGGATATTGCACGACTGTCAAAGATTTTTGAATTATTTTTATTCATCTAGTTAATTCTCTCATAATTGTCTGATTATATTTATATATCTAATGGATGTGTTTAAATAAGGATCACGCCAAATTTACTTCTATTTTTATGGAACAATATTGTTATATTTTTTACTCAAATTTTATGTGATTTGGAAGTTTTATTCATTGAGAAAACCCAGATAATGTTAGTTTGGAAGTCCGGCTTGATAAGGGATCAACTTTTATCATGAATTGGGAGTTTGATTAGTAAAATAATTTCGGAATGGATGAAAAAGTGTTTTGTAATCATTCGCATGGAGCCCAGCGCTGGCACGCAAAGGATGAACATGGGTTGGGTGCCTTAGCATCGCCCGAGGTGCCGCAATGCAGAGCAAGAAGAAATTGGCCTCAAGGCCTGTGTTACAGTGCCGGGTGGGTGGTGTCGCTACGCTACCTGAACGGGTGTAAAAAGGGACTCTTAGTTGTTTTTTTGCCGCATTTTTGTGTTCTACTTCATCCATAACTCCAAGATTTGTCTCATATATATACTCCATGTGGTGTAAGCTTTTTCATAGACTTAACATAACAATTAGATCATTAGAGTATACATTAAAAAGTCGAGAGAATTGTTTAGATTTAAGTTGAAAGTATCAAATCTTATAATCATTTTTTAGTTTCTTGATATAATAAATTCTCCTACTCTTCCACAAACATCTTGTTTGTTGTGTGATCCATTATTTTCATATTGTCCTTATTTTCTTGTCTTTAATTATTTGGCCAAATTCTCAACAAATTGGTATCAGAGTGACTATGGTATCCTATTTATTTCCATTAAGTTGTATCAGAGCTTAAGGTTTTTTGTCGAGTTCTTGGGAGGTCCAAATTGGATATTAAAGCAAGGTTGAAACAAGGTCCATTGTTGAAGGATGGCAACTATGAAATTCGAGATTCTGCTTTTAGATCGCAACAGTAGATTCTCATTGTAGCAGATCAAGATGCGAGCAGTTCTTGCTCAATTGGATCTTGATGATGCTTTATTGGGGATAGATAGAATGTCCACAACAATAACTGCAAATGAGAAACAATGTAATGATTGGAAAGCCCGATACATCTTCATATTTCTAATCAAATTCTTCAAGATATGGTAAAGGAGAAAAGTGCTACGGATTGTAGTTGAAATAGGAGCAGCTTTGTATGACAAAGAGGTTAACCAGTAAGTTACACTTGAAACAGCGCTTATATTCTCATCGTTTGATAGAAGGTGAAACTTTGGAAAATCATCTATTGATGTTCAAGGAAATCGTCACTGATCCAACCATGGAGTTCAAGTAAGATCAAAAGGATTTAGGGCTGATATTATTATGTTCATTGCCGTTTTCATGTGTGACTTTTAGAGATATCATTCTCTATGGTCGAGATATTTTTACTATGACGAAGTATATGATGTAGTTTATTCTAAGGAGAAGATGAAGCGTCTGGTCATCGGATTTGAGGCCCATACAGAAGGTCCTGTTATTTGTGAGAGGAAAACGGGTGGTCGTAAAAGGGGCAGAGACAAGGATAGCAACAGTGATAAAGTCTATTGGTATTGCAACAACAAGGGACACATGAAGAGGAATTGTTATGAGTGGCGGAATAGATTTGCTACTACAGATCAAAAGGGACAACTAGGAAATTTCGATGATGCCAGCTTTGCAGAAGAAGAGTGCAGTGATGGAGATCTTTTGGCGATTATTTGCAGTGACCTTAAACCTGACGACAATTGGATTCTTGATACGACTTGCACTTTTCATATGTGTCCAAACCGTGATTCATTTTCTTCATATAAAACAGTTGCAAGAGGTTCCCCGGTGATGGGAAATAATGAGCCTTGTAAAATTGTTGGGATTGGTAATGTCAAAATCAAGATGTTTGATGGAACGATTAGAACATTTGACCATGTTTGACATGTCCCGGGTATAAATACGAATTTAATCTCTTTAAATACTCTTGATTCAAAAGGGTACAGGTATACCGGTGGAAGTAAAATTCTAAAAATTAGCAAGGGTGCCAGGGTTGTATTAAGAAGGTAGAGAAATTCCCAATTATATATTACAAGGTTCGACGATTACTATGGATGTAGCTACAGCTTATTTTTCAATAAGGAATAACTTGGGTAGAGTTGGTTGTGATCGGGTTGTTTGTGGTAATTCGAATAATAATATTGGAAAACCTTCATGTAGCTCAGATGGAGCTAAATGTGATCTTGTTGATCATGGTGTTGCTCGTGGTGGTTCCAACGAGTTTGGTGACTCAATTGAAGCTGGAAGGGAATGGGATGATTTAAGCAAGGATGGCCTATAAGGTAGTTCTGCTGATAAGCAGGGCTTGAATTTAGTTCACGGTTATTGAGTATTGCAAAGGTATTGTGTGCCCTGAAGGGACGTGATGAAAGCGTTGGAGAATGACTTGAAGAGTGAAAACTTAACTCTTTGCTATGGAATGTGTCAAGGTAAAGTTTGTTATGTTTGTGACTCAATTTTCATCATGGATTGGGAGTTTGACTGGTAAAAGAACTTTGGAATTGAAGAAAAAATGTTTTGAAAGCATTGGGAGGAAGTTGGGGCGCTGACACGTAAATGATGAACATGGGCTAGGCATCGTGGCGCAAGCTTTTGGACACCGCAGCGTCCAACAAGAAGAAATTAGCCAACAAGGGCAATTGTTGTGGCTCCTCAAGAAAAAGGAACTCCTAGTTGTTTTTTGCCACTTTTTTGTGTTTTATTTCACCAATAACTCGAAGACTTTGCTCTTATATATACTCCATGTGGTGTAAGTTCTTCATAAACTCAACATAATAATTAGATCATTGTTATATACATTAAAAATTTGAAAGAATTGTTTAGACTTAGATTGAGAGTATCAAATCTTGTAATCATAATTTTAGTTTCTTGGTATAAAAAATTATCATCATCTTCCACAAAAATCTTGTTTGTTATATGTCATATTGCCCTTATTTTCTTGTCTTTAATTATTTTGCCAGATTCTAAATAAATTGGTATCAGACTGATTGTGGTATGTCCAACAAATACCAAACCCTTTGCTGTATTGTACCTCAAAATTGGATATATTTAATTTTTTTTTACTTCATTAAGCTCCTGTTTGACCCTCATTAAATACATTACATTAGATTAAATTTTTCTCTCTTCATTACAATCACATATTCATCAAATAAAATAATATTACACACAAATCTAAAATTTTTCATTATTTTTCTACCACACATTCTCCCATCAATTACTATTTCAAAAATTTTCAACCATAAAAAATTGCAAAATAATGGGGCCAAACAGGGGCTAAATTAGCCTGAAAATGGTTTAGCTAATCCTTAAAAATCCGTATTCTGTTCAACTTTGAATTTCAGCCACCAACGAGTTCAAGCCCAAAGCTGCCACGCACGAGACACATGGCCATATTATATACATATCCTCACGCCAATGTACAGAACAAGACCAACCAACCTAAGGCTATAAGCACACAAACTACCCAGAAGAATTCCTGACCAAGAATGGTGATGGATTCTCCGGCTTATTCCTGTTCTCCTTCCACTTCCACAAGGGCCCCTCCTATCAAGGTCTCTCCTTTTCTCTATTTATACATGTTTTACATGTATTTATGTCTGGTTGGTTTAGTGACACCGTGATTTTTAATTTGATTGTTGTAAGGTTTCCAACTTCTTGGGCAATCGATTTTTGGTCTCTAAGAGATGCAATCTGGTGCGGCGAACCTCATCGCGTTCTCTTCGATCTGGTTTGGCTAAAGTTCCGTGGCAGCCCTGTGAGTGTTTTTGCCTTGGATTGTGAAAGTGTTTGAATGACGTGGTAATTGGATATGTTTGGTTGTGATAACTGTGCAATTGGCCTTTACAAGAATACACATATTTAAAATGCAAAGCTATCTCCATAATTATGGGTTCTAAATTTAGTAGGTGAAATCTACATTTCCCTACAAGTTGTGTAAGATTTCGAAATTATGTATTTCCTTTTGGATATTTTTTATTTAACTGAAATGATATTGTTTGCTATCTGCAGTTGTGAAGGCTGTTGCTACCCAAGATTCCGCTGTGGAATTGCCGCTGACTGCAGAACATGTTGACAGCATATTGGATGAGATTCGACCTTATCTCATAGCAGATGGAGGTAATGTTGCATTACATGAAATTGATGGAAATGTTGTAAAGGTAAAGCTACAAGGAGCATGTGGCTCCTGTCCAAGTTCTGTAATGACGATGAAAATGGGCATTGAGCGCCGCCTGATGGAAAAGATCCCTGAAATTGTTGCCGTTGAATCAATATCAGATGAAGAAACTGGTCTTGAGCTGAATGAAGAAAACATTGAAATGGTAGATACAACTTTCGACTATATATCCATCTACAGTTACAGTCATTCATTTTCTACAGTTCTTTCGTGTTGCATTGGATATGTTTTTACCTCTTATAAAGTGATATAATGTTACAATGTTGCCTGAAGTTTTACGGTTTTGAAGAAGGAAACCTGATATATTTGCTATCAAAATAAGATTGGACCTGACTCGGTTAAAATAGTTTGTATGCAACATAGAAGAATGCTCTTTATGAGTTAAAAGAAACAGAAAAGAAAATTATAGACAACTGTCGGTGGAGGGCTCATGTTGTGATGGGAGGTATCACTAGAAGTACGATCTGGGTTATTGAGGTATTATCTTGAGTTGGTGCTAGAAAGATAGGGAAAGAGCTGTTGAACTTCGTTTAGAACATGAAGAATTGTGGTGGATTAATGTAAAATTGGTAAAGTACTAGGGATCTGAAACATCATCATTTAGGGAAGAAAAAAAATCTAAGCCTTGTTTGAGCCACATTCTCATTTTCATTTTCATTCTTTAATTTATTTTCAACCACACATTCTTCAATAAAATAATATTTTTCATTACATCAATAACTTTTCCTTCTTTTCAACCACATACTCACCATCAC